TTCTGAGAGTTCTGATGCCATATTGGTTGTTCCATCTTTTATTAGTGTGTATAGCTATTGTCTATTATCTTTACTATAATTATTATTAAATATTTGAAGATGTTCTATAATTTGTTCTACAAGTTTGGTTGTCATGTTTGCTGTTATTGTGCTTTTCTATGTTGGGTTGCTGCATATTCTCTGATTTGTTAGTTTGCATTAGTATAGAGTGTGCTTTGATTGTTGTTCAGACTGCTGGATTTTTCCATGTTTGTTTTCCTTTCTGATAATTGCTTTATTCATTAAGGAGATGATTGTTATTATCCTGAACTGATCTTTCCTAACTCAAAGATTTTTGCTATAAGAAAACACATTTTTTGGATGGATGTTTTACATGTTGTTATACTTGATTTTTGTCCAAGATCTTTACTACTCCTTGTTCAATTTTTACTAACATTGATTCTTGAAATGTTAACTGTTCTAGAATAGTTTTGTATTACAGATTTGTTACTGCACCTTTGGCATCTATTGTATCTATTGCACCTTTAACATTTCTAGAATATTTCTATTTTATTTTATCTTTACTTTTTATATTATCTTTGCCAAAGTATTTATCTATATAAATGCTAACACAGTTAAATATTCTGACAAAGATAGTATTTATATCTTAGGTTATATTTTTACTATAGTATATATTTATTCTATACAAAAATATTATAATTAAAACATGTATATAAAGGTTCCAATTTTACCTAGGAATTGACAGGCTTGAACTTATATTTTTATCAAATAAATATCTTGACTTTTACAAAACAAATCATTATTATTTCTTTCACCTGACCTCATACATCTTATAATTGTACCAATTTGTATTCCTCTAGGAACTTTAGTCTACCACATTGGTTCTGTTCATCTAAAGTGTCTCCCTACTACTAGTTCTTTATCTTTATCTTTCTCTTGAGGTAGAAATAATATATGACAATATGTATTGTGTCTTTTCATATATTCATTTTGTAACAGTGTGTTTGGCTTATAGAGCAGTGCTAATTTGACATGTGCTTGATCTTTAAGTTTGAACGTGTTTGCTTATTTGAAATCAAGGTTGTTTGATCTTAAGATATGTTTATATTCATACTACTGCTAATTTTTTGAAGAGAGCAAGCTGTTTCTGATTTTTTGAAATTGGTGGAATTTTGTTTACAATACATGAGATATGATAAAGTATCTGATATATATGTTTTGTTTTGTTTTCTCTCTTTATTCAAGATTTGGAAAAAAACTTTGATGCTTTTTTGGCTTTGTATTGATATTTGAGGTTATCTGGTTTACCGGATATGATCTGACTAGTACAAAGTTTTGTTGGTATCTAGAGAGGTGTCTAATTTGATACATGACTGACTAACAGCTCTATAAGATTTTCTTTTTTCTAATTTTATTATAAATTGTTTATCTTGTCTCTTGTTCTTTTCCTTATAAATTTTTGTTTGTTTTTCTAAAAATTAAATAAATAAAAAAAAAAGTAGTTAGTTTTCAAAGCAGAAGTTACCTATCTTATTATTAAGGGGTTTAAATTGTTTGTTTCTTTAAGTATTCTCTGTCTTTTGTCAGTTGAAAGTGATTTGGACTCTTTTTCTTGGAATTTCTTAAAAAGAAAATTTTTAGGATTTTTGATGTTTGTCAGAAAGAGTTTTATTATTATTATTATTATTGTTATTGTTGTTTTTTTAATATATTCTATTTTATTTTACATTTTATATATTAAAAAAATTTAAAAAAATTCAAAAGTTTCTTAAGCTTTAATTATATTCTATTGGATAAGAATATTATATATTATTATTATATATATAATTATTTTTATTTTTTTATAATATTATATAATAATAATTTAATAAATTTATTTTCTTATAATGAAATAATTAATAAATAATTAGATTATATAAATGATATAATAATTTTAATATTAATAATTCAAAAATTATATACAAATTTATTAAATTTATTTATAAATATATTACAACAAAAAAAGTTTATTATATTTATAATTAATTAATCAACTTTTAATATATATTATATTCAATTAGTTGAAAATCAATATCAACTTCAATTAAATTATATAAAAATAGGATCTTTAATCTTCTTAATAATTGCAGGCCGGAAACAGTTTAAAGTAAGAAAAATTGCTTAAAAAAAAACTTCTAATCTAATTTTTGTTACAAGTCTATATCTTTTTTAAATAATAGATTTTATAGAAAAATATATTAATCTAATTAAACAATTTTTAAAAAAATTATTGCATAAATATAAATATATGAATAATATCAATAATTATATTATAAAAGTTGTATCTTGTTTAGTATTATACTCTTAAATTTGATAACTTAAATTAACTAAAAGTTTATAAAGTACTTATTAAAAGATTTAAGAGTTATATCTTATTTGATTATCTAATCTTCGAATTTGATAGTATGTACTAATTATAAAAACAACTTTTAAAGTATTTATTAAAAAATATAAAAAAGTAAAATCTAAGATAATATTATAGCTATATAAGCCAAATATGTAAATATAATAAGAAACTTAATAATAATTAATATACTACAGTTAAATCTGGATATAATGAAATCTTTAGGCTAATTAGTAAAAATTTATACAATAAAATTTTCTTTTTATAATGGATTTTTAGTAAATTCAAAATTCAAAAATTTGTTATAACTAGTATTTTATTATAACTTTGTTATAAACAGGTTCATTATATTCAGGTTTGACTGTACTTATAATCAGATTTTAACAAAACTGAAAACACAAGGTTAAACAGTTTAAAACTAAAAATAAAATTTTTACTTTCTTAATAATTTTTTACTAAATATATAAATCTATTTTAAAGATATAAGTTGATTTTCAATATAAAAATGTGAATAGTATTAATTAATATTAACAATATAATTAATAGACTGTTTATATATGGATAATTATTTTTGAAGGCAATAAAAATGCTAGATATTATTTTTTCAGACCCAGCTTTTAAACAATACATATATAATATAAATTTTAGGATCACACAAGAAAATTTCTGGTCCACCTTTGAAAATAATTACCCATATGAACATGTAATCTTTATTAATTAATAAAAACTATGAATATATTATAATTTAACCTTAAAATATATATATATATAGTATATTGTAACAAACAAATTACTTAAATATAATATAATAATTAAATTATATTATTGTATTTTTGTTTATAAAATATTAATAAATAATAAAATAATATTAATTGCAACCTGATTAGAAGTAAAAAAAAATATAATATATATAAATAGTAGTAATAATATATTATTACTACAATGTTATTTAAGATATTATGTTTGTTAAGATTTAATTGTTTGATAATAAAATATTATAAGAACTTCCACCCTCTGATAATTCCATCTGGTGTATTGGCACACTCACGCACTATAAGTTGGTATAGTTGGATTAAAGGTTTTTAGGTGTGGGTTAAACCTGTAAAAAGTAAATCTCAAGATGTAATGTTATAATTGAATAATCAATAAAAACCGTGCATTCTAGCATCTTTTACCTTAAAATAATAATAATAATAAAAGATTATAATTAAATAAAAACTAATAACGACGGAAAATTATTAATTATTTCCTTTTTCTTTTGATGCGTGACATCACATGGCACTCTCACGCACATATATTAAAAATTAATTTAAAAGAATTACAAATTATAATGTTTTGCTTTGATGCCAAGCTTTGCATGCGAGTGCATTAAGTATTTACGTATTTAGTAAGTAGCACGAAGCGGTGGTTACCTAAGAGATGGGTCCAGATTTTTATTACGTGAATAAATTCTAAAAGAGGAAATATTATTTAATCGATTACATAAACACAAAAAGGCAAACAACCACTTCCTTCTATTTCATATTAGAAAGGGAAATGTTACCTTTAATCACAAAAATAGTCAGATGAATGTATGATTATGTGCAGATGTCGTTAGATGTTATATTAAACGTTTTTTCTCTGAGATTTTTTCAAACAGAAAAGGCAAGTATGCGCAATAATTGAAACTATAAGTTATGTTTGTATGTTCGGCACGTTAAGTATTGGAGCAACTATATCCAGCAATTGTTATCATTCGCGTTCTCATTGTTGCATAAACGCGATATTTGATGTGACCATTTCTTGTTTGATGAATTTAGTCAATATTCATCCGGTTTTTTTTTCGATGATTGTACTCGAACAATCTATGCTTAATCTGTTATGGTATAAGTCCTAAATTCATATATGAAAAGAAAAAAACTATAGATCGATTCCTTTCTTTTCTAAGAACATGTGGATTATTCAATTCGCGATTTTGGTTAGGATAAATATTGACTATAGGATTTGCATTGCTTGTAAGTTTTCAAATAAATTCTTTGAATAGTACATACTTTTAGTTAGGTTTAAAGAAAGAATTTTTTAGCATAAATATGCTAACCTTCATTTCTACAAACAATAAAAAAATTTTTTTTTAACATACTGTATCTATGCGTATGTGGTGTATTATATAAACAATAAAAATATGATGCCTTTTTTTCTCGCATTTTTTATTAGAACATAATTGTCATCTGCGTTCTATTTAGGTTACATTTAGGAATAATCTACGCATGTGAATACGCCAGATTGTAGCAGAATTGCTTACGTTTATTTATGTAATGGCATCACTCAAATTTTAGCGAGAGATACATATCGTATAGCGCGGTCCATAGCATTCCCCCGTAGCTTATGCACGAAAATGTATGCACATTAATATATACGGATATTTTAATGGTACGTACTCATAAGTCAGAAATCTTCTACGAGGTACTATGGTCCACACTATACGGTATTCAAGTTATAGCAAGGGCTTCTTTCACATTTGGATATAACGCCGCTTTTGCATTATACTGTACAATGAATAAAATGCTGTAAATTAAACTGGTGATATACCTATATTTTTGTCTTTGTTCTTTTTAGGATAATAGGAAGTACCCGAGCCTTATAGTATACAAGAACGTTTTTTCTTCTGATTTCTAATAGGATTGTATTTTCGCAGTGCAGTGGTTGCTAATACCTTTGATCATGCATTAGCATTCGACACAATTTTTCGTGCTTCCTGAGGTTAAATCAAAATTTAATATGCTTACCTCGATTCTTATTTTATCTTGAAATGTTATCTTTGTATCTAGGAGGTAAAGAAGAGGAGACAAGAAATCTTTCGATTCTGAGATCATCCTTCATTTGATTAATCAAATGTTTTTAACCAATGTTATCTACCTGCAGTAAAATCATAAAATTTTCTAAATATTGAATCTTTTAAAAGCTCCATGTTAAGGGTCGGTTCTAGACGATTAGAAAATTTTTGCTCTGAAATATTAAACCCATTGCTTCAATTTACAGTATTATTGAAGAGATTGTAAATAGTTCAGATAATAATAATAATCATTAAAAATTAAAATATTTGCTAATTAGCTTAAATTTCGAGAATAAGTAATTTATTATTCATTTTTGTATATAACTATTAATTGATATAATACTGTACTTTAAACCGATTCAAATTCAACCTTGTTTATTTGTAAAAGAAAAATTACACGTATAGTATATTATGAGTTTGATACAGTATATTGATAACTATTATATAATATAAATAAATCTAATAGAACAAATTTACTTGTACCTTGTTTTTACAAAAAAATCATCATATTAAGACGATTATCATTATAAAATATATAAAAAGAAAGATATTGGTATTATATTGAATATATAATAATGTTTATAGTTTAAATATTTGTTTTATTATAAACAATTTTTTATTATAAAATAAATAACTTTATTTTGATTGTATTTGTTTTATTAGAAATTTTTCATTTATATTGATTTTTGTTAAAAAAATAATTTATACTTTTTACTGTAAGTTTTTAGTTCAAAAACTCAAAAACCTTAAAAACAACTAATACAATAAAATAAAAAACTCTCTTCTGATTGTGTTTACTTTGTTAAAAAATTTCTTTTTATGGTAATTTTTGTCAAGAAAAAATACTTTACATGCTTTATCACATGTGAGTTTCAACTCAGAAACTCAAGAATCTTCAAAACAACTGGTGCAGTGGGATGGGGCCTCTATTTGAAGTCTATTTAAGTTTGAAAGTCTTGCTTATCCTTCAGTTATATGAGGAAAGACTTATAACAGTTCTTTTTTCTTTTATTCTCTTGCACTTTTCCTTATCCTTATCCTATCATGAAAACCATATACATTATCACCATTATACTTGCTAAATCAAATACTTTCCAAAATATATATTCAAACAGAATTATTAGATCTACTGTTTGTTTTAATATAACTTTTATATACAACTTTATCATAATGACACTTACTGTACCATTTCAAAATTTCTAAAACTTTTTGTCCAAAAAACTGAAATCAGTTTACCCTCCAGATAATTGTTACTCTCCAATCATTCAATTAGATTTTGTCAAAACAACAAAGTAAAAACTGAATCAGTTTAAACCGGTTTTTCAATACAATAAAGATAACAATAATAATAATAACTATCACAATAACAACTACTATAACAACAAATAATGTTAATTATACATTACTATCCAGATCAATAAAAGGTATATCTTTAAGTTCAATGCCAATGCAAGGACCAGACTATTGGTTCCCTTTTAAATATTCTTTTTGTTTATATAGATTTTATAGTTTAATTAATATAATTTCAATACAAGTAGTCTACATAATTGTAGCTTCAATTATATATATATATTTTTTCTTTTATTTTTTATTTATTCTTATATCTTATCAAATTTTTTAAATAAGTAAGCATAGTTACTACTCTCAGTTATATTTAGTATATAGTATTGTTTTAAATTTTCTTTTTCAATATTAGTTAGGTATAGATAAGGATCCTAATGATTCTCTTCAATTCTATATTAGATTTTCAAGTTTATATTAATTTAATAGGTAGAGTATATACTATCATTATTTTTAATAGTATTTTGAACCTCATGCAATTTTCAGCAATTCTGTTCAATTCCAATTTTCAAAACAATAAGTATAGATAGTATAGGCAAGCTAGCATTAAATTTACTGCTATTACATATAATAAATGTTATTTCTTTATAATAGATATATTTTAAATATATAAAAAAATAAAAAAATGATATTTACCTATCAAAAAAAAAACTAATACAATAAAATATAATTTTAACTAAAATCTATTTAAGTTTAAAGATTATATTTATTTTTTAATTATATAAAGAAAAATTTATAACAGTTTTTTTAATATATCTTTATTTCTTATTTTTTTAATATTTAAATATTATTTTCTATATACTGTATTTCTATTTTTATATTTTTAAACTTGTAAATATATTTTATAAGATATATTTAAACAAAATTATTAAATCCCTTATTTTTTTAATTTAAGTTTTTAAATAATTTTATTTTAATAAAATTGTTGTACGATTTAAAAAATTTGTTATTTTGATTAAATTAAAAAATTAAAATTAAAATATTTTTTTTCAATTAATTAATTAATCAAATTTAATATTCTTGTTAATAAGAAAGTAACCAACCAGAGAAGGAAAAGTTCAGAGTATTCACTAGGGAGTGCAGACCCACGTGAAGTCCCTCTGTCACATTAGCTGCGTGAGCGAAAAGGTGTGTAGTGATAAGTTACTTACAGAGAATAGTTAGTAGTACCATTGTTCCCGCACAGAATTGGACCGGTAGGTTAGGTGGTTTAAACTAGTGATAGAAATTCCCTCCCTAGATAGGTCCTCCCGAAAATATGAAAAAATACTTCAAGAGTGTCAAATTAGTATTAACAGGCAAATAGTTGATAGGTTAGCATTAAGCTATAGTATACCCATTACAGAAGATGTTTGATGTAATATAATAAATATATATAATATCAATAAAGACTTGTATCTAATGCTATTCAGCTAAAAAAAAAAAAAATATTCTTGTTAATAAAATTATATTAACAAGTTAAAAAATAAAAATATTTTTTTAACTAGTAAAATCTTGTCTATAGTTCTAAAAATTGGAATTAAACAGACTTATAGACTCATATAGGATTTAAAATACTATTAAAAATAGTGATAGTTTAAATTAAATACAGTATAAACTTGAAAATTGAGAATCAAATTGAATCAAATTGTTGGAGTTTTTAGTCTTGCTTAATATACTTTATTTAGTTTATATTTACACAATAAAATTTAATATAGCAGATATTCAATATAATGGAAACATATAAAAATCTTAATATAATAGAATAAACTTAAAAACAATTATAATAAAATAATCTTGATATAATAAATTTAATAATAAAATTTAAAAAATTTCAACTATAGTGAAATTTTCAAAATTTTTTACTAATTGCTCTAAAGTTATGTTATATCAAATTTCATTGTGTATATTTCTTTTATAAAACTTATAATTTGTAAATTATTTTGATTATATGCTATACTATATCAAATTTCTTTTATATCAGCTTATTGCTATTAATTTATCTTAATATATTGTCATATATCATTTCTACCTCAGAAGAAAGATATAGACGAAGAACTAGTAGCAGGGAGGCACTTTAGATGGACAAGGCCAATATGGTATGCTAAAGTTCCTAGAGGCATACAAATTAGTACAGTTCTGAGGTATATGAGGTCAGGTAAAAGAGGCAATGGTGATTTGTTTTTCAAAGGTCAAGTTATTTATTCGATAAAATATATGTTCAAGCCTGCCAATTTCTAGGTGAAATTGAAGCCTTTATATACATATTTGAGTTATATTATTTTCGTACATGATAATTATGAGTTATAAGAAATAATAGAAATATAAAAGAAGTGTTATATTCGTCAGAACAGTTATCTGTATGTATTAGCATAGAAATAAATGCTCTGGCGAAGATACAAGAATAAATATAAATAAATAAATTAAGAAATATTCTAGAGCCACGCACTCTTTCTCACTCGCACACAATTACCATATTAGGAAACACAGTGAAAAGAAAGAGACATGAGTTCAAACAGAACTTTCAGAGGCACCTCGACCTCAACAAGGCTCAACTACAATCTGAATGAGCTCACCAAAGGCATGGCCAGCCGGAAAAGCAGAGAAACAACACCATATCCAGCACAAAAACCAGCACAGAAACAATCCCAAACTGAAGCGAAAAATGACAAAATGAAAGTGACAGAACAGGACCAAACCCAAACGATTCTAAAAACAACCACAAACCAAACCATCCACGGAAAGGAACAACCAGACAATGAGAACCAGAATAAGGCCACAGAAGAGCCTAAGAACATCACACAAGAACCCAAAACACACGAACTTTGGAGCGACATCTACGAACAAGAGAACTCTAATCCCTATGCAGGAACAACCACAGAACCTCCCACTAGACAGGCAAGCATCTCCCAGAAAACAGACAATCCCCACAGATGGGCAAGAATAGATGACTCTGATGAAGATATGGAGACAGACTACCAAAACACAACATGGAATACTCAAGACAAAGGAAAACAACCAATGCACCAATGGAGCAAGCCAAGACCTCGATCCCCATTCGACAGAAGTATCAGATATGGACGCCAATGAAGCAAAGTAGGAATCAAAGCAACAGTACTCCCCGGAGACACAATTGGAAAGAAAATCCAATACCTCACCAAAGCACTAGGCTCCCCCGAAGGGCTTATCAACATCCGCAGCGAAGGGAGGAAAGACAAAGAGCTGATCACTGCCACATTCGGAGACTACTACATGGCAGCACAAGCATGCACCATAGACCTACCCAATTTGAAAAACACACACCTGGATTTTATCCCCACACATGATCCTATCCAAAAAAAGTAAAATAGTATCAGAGTATGGGACATTTTCCTGAATGCAAAATTCATAGAAGTGCAACAAACCTTCGCCAAATATGGACAGATCACAAGTATCACAATGAGCACACAACAAATGTGGCAAACAGCCACCATTACATTCGAGGACAAGAACAGCAAGGAAAAAACCGTAAACATGTGGAGCATCCCTTTCAAGGCCGACATGGTCAGAGTGTTTGATGCACAATGGAGTCTAGCACAAATAAAGGAAAGAGGCCAAATCGCAGCAAAGCTTACAAACCTCCCACCCAACACAACAGCCTTTGACCTGCACACTATATGTCAACAAATCAAGGCAAAAACATGCTACATTCCACGCAGAAGATTATATCAAAGGAAAAGATTTGCAGTTATTAGTTTCGAGAACACAGTTGACCTAAGCAATGCTACACAATAGAACTTCACAATCGGAGAAACACAGATCACATGGACACAATT